GTAATTCACTGCACCACAATAGATACGTTAGATAGATCGATAAAATAGGTAGGTAGGTAGATAGGTAGCTGCCATGGAGAGCAAGTTGACTCTGACTCATGGCGACCTTATGTACAGCAGAATGGACGTTGCCCAGTCCTGGATCATCCTCATGGTCACTGCCATAGTTGAGTCCATAACTGCAATTATTGTGCCAATCCATCTCACTGAGGATCTTTCTCACCCTATTGGTCCTCTGCTTCACCGGGCATGATTTCCACCTCTAGTAATTGCTGCCTTCTGATGACTTGTCCAAAGCAAATGAATCAGACAGTGTTCTGTAGTGGTCCATAAGGTTTTCACTGGATAATTTTCAAAAGTAGATCATCATCCTTTTCTTCCTAGTGTGTCTTACTCTTGTGTTAATAGGGAAACTCAACTGAAATCTGTCTACCATGTGTGACCCTGCTGGTATTTGAAATATTGGTGTCGTAGCTTTCAGCATTAGAGCAACATGCAAGCCACCACAGTATGACAAACTGACAGATGGATGGTAGATATTTGCACATAAAACAACAATAACAACAAAAATCTGTTGTTGAGTCAATTCTGATTCATAGTGATCCTGTATGACAGAGTAGAATTGTCTTATGGGCTTTCCAAGACTATATTTACAGAAGCAGACTGCCACATCTTTCCCCCATAGAATGATTGCTGGATTTGAACTGCTGACCTTGCAGTTAGCAGCCAAGCACTTTAACCAGTGTGCCACTAGGCTCCTTAAGTGCCTGTGAACCAAAATTAAACTCACTGCCATTAAGTTGATTCTGACTCCATAGGACAAAGTAGAACTGCCCCACAGGGTTTCCAAGGCTTACAGAAGCAGACTGGTTGGTGAATATGAACTGCTGACCTCTTGATTAGAAGCCAAATGCTTTAAACACTGTGCTACCACCACTCCTTATGTGCACATTTGTTGTTGTTGTTGTTGTTATGTGCCGTCAAGTCGGACCCCACTCATAGCGACCCCTCCTTGGGTTTCCAAAGCAGTATCACTATGGAAGTAGATTGCCCCATCTTCCTTCCGAGGAGTGGCTGGTGGGTTTGAATCGCCAGACTTCTGGTTA